AATGCAGCAAATAAGCGAGGCTGTACAAAGTGGTTCCTAATCACAAACTTCTAGGTCACGTTTGCTTATTTCTACTCCCATCCATTGCCTCACATTTCCCCCAACTGTTGCCTTATTTGCAAAGCTGGCACACGCTTTATGTAAAAGTTACTTCTGCCTTTTCCAGGTGTGTCCAGAGTCCTTTCACTCTCAGGGTGCCTTCCTTCTGTCCAGAGCCCCAGCACTAGCTGAGCAAACAGGTATGGCATTTGCTCTGTTCATCAGGTGAAGCAAGTTTTATTTCATTATTTTCCACCTTTGGTTGAAGATTCTGAGGCTCACTGAGGCAATGTGACTCGCCCAGGGTTAGAGAATTAATAACTGGCAGGGCTTGGCCTCAAACCTGAGAACCGCTTCCAAAGCTAGACCTTGCTCCATCTGTCTAGGTCCTTTCATCTCAGGGACTGCTGCTGAACCAAGAATCTAAAGCACGATGAACTAGCTACATCAATACATGGAACTGACCACCAGGCAAGGGACAATGAGTGACCTGGAGGGTAACTGAGGCAGATGGACCCTGCTCTCTGTCAGCTAATGGGACACAGGGAGCCGAGACACTCACAGGCAGCAGGCCCTGGGGTCATCCAGTCATTAGAGTTCAGAGCTGAGTGGCAGTGTGGGATGGAATGACTCAGGGAGAAATCCTGGTCAGGATGTAAGAGGAGAAACTAGGGAAGAAGGAGAAGAGGAGGGTGCCACCTCCATTTCCCTGTAGGGCCTGGGTCAGGCAGCATCAGAGACAACTCAGCCTTTCCCATCCAGGTTGGGCCCTGGGTCTTAGATGCAGATCTGTTTAACTCCCTTGGTCACTCCTGAGATGGTGAGCGGGTCAGACTGGAAGGGGCCCCCAGGGACACTGACACTGTGTAAAGGAGAGTTGGCGTGATGTCTGTTCATGCCTCCCCAACAACAGGCTATACCAGCCACCCTTCCACACTGCAGATTCATGCCTCTGGACCTTTGCCACCCAAACCTTACCATCTGGATTCCAGACTTAAAAGGCACGTTCTCCATAAGGCCTTGTCAAACTGAAGGCAGGACAGTGTTAGCTGAAAGCACCTCAGAGTGGGCACCACACTCCTCTCAGCACACTCCAGAATGGCTGGTGTCAGCAGGGCTTCCCACCTGGCACCTGGGCTCAACCCAGAGTGACCCTGACTGAAGTAGGCTGTTCTCGCCTCCCAGCAGGCGAGGAAGGATGCTCACTGGTGAATGGCCTCAGGGGTCATCCCTGCAATGGAATGGAAGGTCACTTCTTTCTCCCCAGTGGCAAAGGAGGCTGCAGCAGGGGCTATGGCCTAGGAGGTTCTCTGGAATCAGCTCCCAATCCATAAGCTTCCTACGTGAGAGCCCCTTTCCAGACTTGGGGTACAAATAAAAAGCAAGATCCTCCTCCCTGGGATGGACACGGCCTCTGCTACATCCTGTTCTTCCTGGAAAGTCCATCATCCTCAAGCCCTGGACCCTGCAGTTTAAAGTTAAGTCCATATGGGGTCTGGCTCTCTGTTAGGGCAACCAATGTTCTAGTCTGCCTTCCTAAATAACCCAAGCAAGCCCTCTGCTCTGGGGATCTGTTAAAGTCAGAAGAGTCTGTTTTTCTCTGGGGTCTACAAATACAGGCACAACTCCTTGCTAAGGCTAGGCTTCCTGGCAACCAAAGGAGTGACCAAGCGGCAGGCCCTACCAGGTAAAGGATGCTAGAAGTCCACCAGCCCAAAGTCTCTAGAAGGACAGCCCTGAAAGCCAAGCTCCCAACGACTGGGAGGCAAACCCGTTCCACCACACTCCACTGCCTCAAAAGAGGCCAGATGAGAGCAAATCAGAAGAATGTGATGAGCTGAAGCAGAACCGAATTCAATGTCCAGCATGGTTGGTCCCTAGGCTGCAGTGAGAAAACAAAACAGGGCCTTGCACCTGCCCAGCTCAGTGGGCTCAGGACGGGGCCTCAGAGCAGGTCCTGTGCTCCACTACAAATGACCTGTAAGACCTAACATGGAGCAGGTCCTCACGTGGCAGGGCCCCTTTTATCTAGAACTCACTGACAGGAGCCTGGAACTACACATGCCCTTTGGTTTTTTCCCACTGTTTTCATTATGGTATATCTCAGGCACACAAAAAAGTTCGCACAATAACCTAACACATGTACTCACCTCCTGCAGAGTCAATAAAAGCATTTTGCCATATTCAAGACAGGTTTGTTCCCCTTTTTTTTCTTTTGTTTTTTTTTTTTTTTTTTTTTTGAGGCGGAGTCTCGCTCTGTCGCCCAGGCTGGAGTGCAGTGGCGCGATCTCGGCTCACTGCAAGCTCCGCCTCCCGGGTTCCCGCCATTCTCCTGCCTCAGCCTCCCGAGTAGCTGGGACTACAGGCGCCGCCACCACGCCCGGCTAATTTTTTGTGTATTTTTAGTGGAGACGGGGTTTCATTGTGTTAGCCAGGATGGTCTCGATCTCCTGACCTCGTGATCCGCCCGTCTCGGCCTCCCAAAGTGCTGGGATTACAGGCTTGAGCCACCGCGCCCGGCTTTTCTTTTGTTACAACAAAACCACACATCATTGGCCTGGCCCAGTGGCTCACACCTGTAATTCCAACACTTCAGGAGGCTGAAGTGGGTGTTGCCTGAGCTCAGGAGTTCGAGACCAGTCTGTGCAACCTGGTGAAACCATGTTGTTTTTGTACCAAAAAATTAGCTAGCAATGGAGGTGCACACCTGTTGTCCCAGCTTCTTGGGAGGCTGAGGTGGGAAGATCGCTTGAGCCTGGGAGCCACTTGGAGGTTGCAGTGAGCTGAGATCACACCACTGCACTCTAGCCTGGGTGACAGAGTAAGACCCCCATCTCAAAAAAAAGAAAAAAAAAAAAATCACACATCACAGAGCCTTTCCCTAATCCTGTTTCCTCCTTGCTTCCCCAGGCGTCAATCGGAGGCATCACTCCTCATGCATGTGTTTACACTTCTGCTTTTGCTTTCTTGGGAGCACCTGACACCTTATCACACACCTGCTTCTTTGCTAACAGCCTGTCTCCCTCCAGAAAATGTCAGTTCCGTGAGGGTAGGGGCTGTACTCTGTCCACTGTTGCCTTCCAGGGGCCCACAATGGTGCCCTGCACAGAGCAGACAACCAATAAAGTCAGTACTTGTCAACTGAGAAACATACATATATCATTTTGTGTTCCTAAATTTGATATAAATGTTCCTGGCCTGTATGCCTCAATTCTGAAACTTGCTTTTTCCTTCACTCGACACCACGTTTGAGATTCACAACCACATGGTTCAGCATTCAAGCCTCTTACTGTATGACACACCCACCCACATGCTAAACCAGTAACCCTTCTTTCTCATCGAGGAGCGGGAGGGGTGGGAATAAGAGAAAAAACCACCAGCAAATCAGAGCCCAGAAACTGGAACTCAGGCTCCAGCCAGAGTTCCAGTTTTTGAGAACCTAAGAACAAACCAGAACACCAAAGGGCCTCTAATACGTAGTTACCACAGAATGGGGAAATCTATGCCAGCACCCACCCATAAAGCCACATATGTTGGGGTTACCTGACAAACGAGCAACTAACTGGCCTTTGTCTTCCCATCTCAAGAGGTGGGGGCTAAGGCCCAACAAAATGCCCCAGGCCCAGTGGCAGCAGACCCACTCAGCGTTTAGCATCACCAGCCTCTCAGCATGGAGCTGGTAGCATGTCTGAACCCAAGTAGGGGGCATGGACTCTGAAGGGCTCTCAGGATGGTGTGATAACACTTTGTAAATGGTGTCTGTGATTGCTCCTGATTACAAAGGCAGAGATGAGGCCCGCATGTGGGGAGGTTCTACTCATACTGGTGAAGGTGAAAAAAGGCTGTGGCATCAGGAAAGCCTGCTCTGGTGTGACCGCCCAGCTTTCTCTGAAGGGCATTCCCTCCCCTCCTGCTGCCCCTATGCAAAGCAGAGCCTAAGCGCATCAAGAGATACACCCCTGTGCCTGAAGGAAGCTGCTCAGAGCAAAGGAAATCAAGGCAACATGTCCAGAAAGACACATAGTTTTACCCCAGGAAGAGAGCGCCAGCTCAGGGCTAGGCATGGGAAGGAGGACATGAGACCTCTGGAACTGCTGACACAGGAGTGGTAGTCAGACACTCTGTTCACAAAGATCAGAGGCACAGCTCTGCCTCGCCCCACCCCACACGCTGGTTCCAGCAACAGTTTCCAGGCTCCAGATTTTTGGGAGGCAAAGTAGCATCTGAGGCTCTGTGGAGGTGGCAGCCCTCAAGACTGCGGGGGAAGACCTTGTGCCTGCAATCACGAGGGAAGGGTACCCAAGACCCTCATATGTGCTGTGTTTAGGCAACTTAAGTGGACCCAACCAGATGACAGTATTCGACAAAATAAGATAAATACTACAGAGAGAAATGAAGCCAAAGGGGCACAGAAAAATGAGACAGGCACCCTTTGAGCCGAACGCTATGTGAAGACCCAGACATCAAAGGTATAGGAGAGATGAGAAGGACCTCCAGGACGGACAAAATACTGGTCAGGAAATGCTGAGTGGCTAGGGGTGGCAAGGGCCGACCACAAAGGGCTCCGGCTGGAGGGAAACAGAGGAGGTTGGACGAGGCCAGATGACCCAGGCAGAGCTTCACATGTCAGGTACAGAAGGGGCACTTACTCAGCAGGCAATGGAGAACCATGCCACGAAAGGTGTATGAGAAGGGTAAAACGGCATAATGTAAGGGCTAGAAAGAAAATGCTGGGGGTTGAATAACAGCCAAATGGAAAATGAGGGAAAGGAGGCAGAGAAGGCCTCAACAAGGGCCTTCTGAGATGTTGAGATTTTAAGGTCTGAACAAGACAGCCATGGCAGAAAGAAGAGGGGAGGGAACAGGGTAGACACTGAACAGAGATGGGAGGACCCAGAGACTGGGAGACCGATGAGTGCTGGAGGAGACAGCAGAGCCTGGAGCTGCAACACGGGCATTACCTGTGCTTCTCGCCTTCTTCCTCCTCTTCTCTGAGATGCTTGGTCCTTGGCTCCCCATCTTCCTTGTCCTGCAGAGAAAGGGAAAAAACCACCAGCTCAGTTGAAAGCTCCTACTTCCAGTCCACACGGCCCAGGGAGCTAAAGAACAGGACATCTCAGAAGGGGGACACCTGGCAGGGCCCAGCTTGGTGTCCCAGACTCCAAGCAGGGTACATGCCTGCTGCATCTCATAGGCGCAACTGGAGCCTCACTGCCTGTGCAGAATTTAAAAATCCGTAACTCTTGGCCAGATGCGGTGGCTCAGGCCTGTACTCCCAGCACTTTGGGAGGCTGAGGTGGGCAGATCTCGAGGTCAGGAGATTGCAACCATCCTGGCAAACACACGGTGAAACCCCATCTCTACCAAAAATACAAAAAAAATTAGCCGGGCATGGTAGCCGGGCGTGGTAGCTGGTAACCTGTAGTACCAGCTACTCAGGAGGCTGAGGCAGGAGAATGGCGTGAACCTGGGAGGTGGAGCTTGCAATGAGCCGAGATTGAGCCACTGCACTCCAGCCTGGACGACAGAGTGAGATTCATCTCAAAAACAACAACAACAAAAAATCTGTAACTACAGCCCAGTCCCAGGTACCTGGTAGCCCTTAGAGAACACTCGCAGAAAGAGCTGGATGGCTTTAGATGGTGAGAAATGCAGCCACTTGGTGCCATGGAGGGGCCATGCTGGCAGGCCACCAGTCACCTTCATGGGTCTAGATGGAAACACCTGCTAAGCTAGGGAAGACTGGGGGAAGAAGTCACCAGCAACCAGGGCAGGATGAGAGCTTGGGCCTCCTGAGACACCTTTCAGGCCAGAGTCCTCTCCGGAAATACCTATTTGGTTCGCTTTAGAAGTAACATGAACAAGGACCAGGCTTATAACAAGACTCACTGCCTAGGCCTGTGCTACATTCAGGGAGACAGAGGCAAGGGGAATTAGTTTGAAGTTTCCATGAAAATTTTCTTAATCTGGTTCTTCTGACTTCCCACCAACTGCACCTCTTTTTTAAGTCTAGAGAGTCATGTTCATCTTAACTTTGACATGTTATGCTTGTTCTCAGGTGCACTGGGGGTTACAACAGAAAGAAACTGCCATACTGCTTCCACCTGCAGCAGAAAATGTCTTCCTGGACTTTCTCCCTTATTATGTGATTACCACCGTTAGGTCAGCCTGCCTGTGGACAAACTGACACAGGGCGTGTGTGCGCATGTGCAAATTCGTGTGACCACATCTCGGGCCCAGGGCATGGACTGAGAGGTTCCAAGACAGAGCTGTCGTGGGTCTCCCTGCATGCCAGGTTGGCACTCCAGAAGGTGACAATGCGTACTTCACTATGGCAATGTCCTGCCTTCCACTCTCGCAGAGCAGTGTTCTGAGAGAGATCTGTGAGCTCCTTCAGTAGGGAGCCTGCTCTGATGGACACAGAATGAGCTGGAGCCTGCATATAAATTGTAAGTAAAACAGTTGCTTGAACTACCTTTCCTAGAACATTTATTTATGCCATTGACAACTGCCTTCCTAAGAATGGCATCTGCTTTATGTGAAGACTGCAGGCATCGACCAGACCCTGCCACGCCTTGGCCACACAACCTCCGGGGAGCAGACTACCAAAACTAGGTTGGAGGCCTGGCCCAGAGAAAGGCTTCTGTCATGTGAACAGATCAAGATGCCCCCTACCCCAACTCAGGGCAGCTCATCTCATGGCAATGAGGCAGCGGGAACAAAATAACTGACCAAGTGACAGCAGCTACATGAGAGAGGTCAACGTGGAACATGGTTCTTGTGGGAGGGGTGAGGGGTTTCCTACTAAGAGATGGGCTGGGCAGAATTGGGTGATACAGGATGGGGGACAGGAGTGGGAAGGGCATTCCCGGTGGGAAGTAGAACTTGAACAAAGGCAGGGTGTGGTCTAAGAGCATGCAGGTGACTGGGGCTGGGGAAGGGGGTGACGATGATTGCCAGGTAAGACAGTCAAGTCAGGCAAGGGCCAAACACAGAGGGCTCTGGCCAGTGTTCTTAAGCAATGGAGAAACCGAGGAGAGACTGGGGAGAGTCTACCGACCCCTGCTGGGCAAGGCAGGCTCTGGGGTGGACAGGCAGATGCTTGGTGATGGCCAAAGAGGGAAGGGAGAACAGAGTACAAATGCTTCACTGAGAAACAAATCAGGATCCTCCAAATGGCTCCCAGGGCTGCAGGGACCCGGACGGGGCTTCCACAGGAGCCCTGCTGGCGCATGCAGCCCTCCCTGACTAAAGACGAGCCGATGAAGCAAGCCAGAGCCTGCATATTCTAGCAAAAAATTCCTTCCCGACTTCCAACCAGCGGACACCCTGAAGGCTACTCCCAGAAGTGCCTATCGCAGGGGAAGTAGTGGCAGACACCTGCCCTGGGTAAGGGCAGAGAAGGAAAAGCAGAAAGGGCTCTTCTTTCCCCACAGTGGGCTGGTGGGGCAAGACCCCCAGTCACAAAGGAAGACTCCTTTCCAAACGGGTTCTGTTAACCTGAACCACCTGGCAGAAGTAGGCGGGGACTACAGGAAAGTGTCCAGCCTTTGGGAGGAGTGCTTTGCAAATACCATGCCCTTTCTCAGCTCTCAAGCAAGGTCAAACAGCTGCCACCACCCTCCTGGAGCCCCAGAGACATTCAAGTGCCTCAGCAAAGGCCAAGTTATTCATTAATAAATGAGAAAACACCCAACTATCTAAATGACTTTTTAAAAATGCCTAGCAATCTGGCGGGTGGGGTGCAGCACTAGCTCTGCAGACGGCATGAGGTTAAAAATGACCCCAGCTTGGGATGCTGTGCTAAGAGCAGGGGCTCAAAAAAGATAAAGATCCACATCTGTGGCAGAAGCAGGTGAACAAATGAACAGGCCACATAAGTGGGAGAGACAAGGTGTACCTCAGCCTTCCTGACAAAGAGTGATTCATAAACAGGATAATGGGCATTCATGGGAATGAAAATCGCTTTTGGTGACGCTGGCCTGAATCACAAGATATGGCCCCTTGCTGCCTAGGACAGTGGAGGGAACAGCAGACCACTTGAAGCTCACCCCTACCTGAGAGACTCAAAGAGCCTCAGACCTGGAGGGCTCGCAGGATCACCCATTCTAGATCCTCAATTTAACCCATGGGAAAACCTGGGAAATGGCGGTCAGGGAAAAGGAAAAGATTTGTCCAAAGTCACAGAACCCATCAGCGGTAGCTGCAAGTCTGCCTCCAGGTCGTCCTGATGCCTGGCCCTCGTTCTTGCCAAGGAGACGAGAGAGAGGCTATCAAGAGTGGAAGAGTGGTGCCGAGTTTCTAAAGAGCTCTGATTCTACTCGCCTCTCCTGCGCTCCCCACAGTTCAGACCTGGCCCCAGTGCTCAGATACGGCCACAGCCAGCCCAAGTCCAAGCCTAGGCCCTGCTGGACACTCAGTAGGAAAGCAGGCAGGGCCCAAGGTGCACAGCCTCCCCAGGAATCTAGAGACACTTCGTTCACCCTGGGACCTTTAAATCAGACTCAATGCCTCACCACCCCCACCCCCCACCTCACACCCTTCCCAAATCTTGCCATCTTCTCCCTCCTTCCCAATCCCTAGTCTCCTCAACCACCTCCTTAGCTCCCCACCACAACCAAGCCCCCAGCCATTCCCCTCCACCTTTGCCTGCCAGCCAGCCTTCCCCTCTACTCTGGAGAATACAGCTGCCTCCTGCATTTTTCCCTCTTTCTCCAACCTATCTCCCCTAAGTCGCTCTCCATCTTATCAATCCACATTCCTGGCCTCCTCTTCAAAGATACTGGTCAGACCACACTGCACCTCTGCTCAAAGCTCCCACTGGGTCTCCATACCCCCAGGACAATAGCCATTCATCTCAACCTCACATCTGCTCTGTCCAGAACACTCTTACACCCCACATTTTGTCTCAAATCATGAAATACCTACTCTGATAACCCCCAAGAAAACAGCATCTGGCCAGTCCTAGAGGCCAGGTCAAAGGCCACCTCCTCAAAGCAGCCTTCTAAGATTCCCAGGCAAAGGAATCCTCTGGGCCTACCCAGTGCATATCAGGGTCTGACCGTAGGCCCAGGGCACAGGCCTGTGGCTATTCCTATTCACAGTTGGCTTTACTACCCCTTCCCTTCAAGAACCTCTCAGCACGGGGCATCTCCTAGAGCACCTCAAGGCCTAGCCCAGAGCCTGGGCTAAACAACCTTCAGAAACTCTACCAATTGAACTGCTACCCTCTTCACCAACTCCAGAAGAGTAAACCTCAGGAACGCTGCTGGCTGGAGGGCAGGAGAGTCATGACCTGGGCTGGGGCCCTCTCCATAGCCTACTTGCCTATTAATGGACGTACTCCCACATTTCTCACCCCTGCCCACATCTCCACGCCTAGACCTTGCACCCATGCCCTCACCTCGTCCCAGAGCCTTCAGGAGGAAGAAGCCTTTGAGGAAGGACTTCAGGGGGTCTCAAATACAGCCCTGCTCAGGACAGAGTCTGACTGACCTGTTTCCTAATGTTTGAAATCCTTTTTATCAGGGACAAAACTGTTACAAATAAAATTAGAGCTGTGCAGGGTTGGTATCATTTCTTTTTTTTTTTTTTTTTTGAGACGGAGTCTCGCTCTGTCGCCCAGGCTGGAGTGCAGTGGCCGGATCTCAGCTCACTGCAAGCTCCGCCTCCCGGGTTTACGCCATTCTCCTGTCTCAGCCTCCTGAGTAGCTGGGACTACAGGCGCCCGCCACCTCGCCCGGCTAGTTTTTTGTATTTTTTAGTAGAGACGGGGTTTCACCGTGTTAGCCAGGATGGTCTCGATCTCCTGACCTCGTGATCCGCCCGTCTCGGCCTCCCAAAGTGCTGGGATTACAGGCTTGAGCCACCGCGCCCGGCCAATCATTTCTTTCTTAAATGTTCAACAAGACTTCAGTGAAGCAATCTTGGCCTGAAGTTTTCTTTGGGAAAAGATTTTAGTTATAGGACTGTACAGATTTTCTATTTCTTCTCCAGTCAGTGTTATTAATTCATGTCTTTCAAGATGTC